TCGTTGTTTTCCTTATGGAGTATCGGTATCCTGTCCTCTCGGCTTCGTCTTCATTACGTATTCCCTATCTTTATTACCGGAAGGATGGAAAATGTGGGAAAAGGAAATCCTGGAAAAGTGAATGTGAGAAAGGAAAATCAAATCCTTCAATATATAAGAGGTCTAAAAGCTGAAGCACACAATGCAAAAGAACCTGGATAAACTTCAAAAATAAAAAGAATATCTACAGAAGGATAGGGATTAATAGCTCCAGTTGCGGACTCAATAGTTAGCATTGCCTTTCTCTCAACAAATCATCTTTAGATAAAGCTACTAAAAAAGAGTATATCTAAATAAGAAAAATATATAGATAATTCTGATATTTTTTATTTGGAAGATGATGTTAGTATATCTTGTAATATTAAAATAAAATATAAGGGTGGTGTTTTAGTGGCCAAACCTTGAGTCTTCTCCTTCCTACACACTCATGAAGGTGTAGATGCCACCACAATAGCTATGGAATGACTAACATGTTTTCAACCGACAAAAAGAATTATATTAAAAAAATTATGCAATTAAAGCTATAGGAAACCTGTGAGATAAGATTGTGGGCCTCTATCATGTATATGATAACATAATATATATGTAGCCAAATTGTATGGTAAATCCTACTACTTAGACAATATTCCAAAGTAAACAACTCTCATTTCATATTTTTATTTCCATTCCCATATGTACTACTTATAAAAGAGTTTGAGATTTTAAGTTTCAAAAGTCTTAAATCCCCTTTAATATCCCTTTTGTATTAAAGGGCAAGAAGAAGAAGAAGAAGAAGAAAAGGGACCAAAAAGATAAATACAATTCATTGAAGAAATTTAAAGAAAATGAATTGAACTCACAACATCCAACCAATTGGTTAAGTCAATGTTGGTGAAGAGGAAGAAGAAGAGTCAAAACCTAAACTAAAATGTGAAAAAATCATAGAATCACAAAAAGAAAATCTGCATACCTCAAAAGCTTTGCCTCTTTTCCAAACACCATCTTTCCAATCATCAATTGAAGACCATTCCAAAAGTTGATTTATGCTCTCCCCCCTCTAAAATACTATGTATGTTTGAAGCAGGGTCCAAGCATTTTATATTTGACTTCAAAAGGTAAGATTATAGAATTAAGCCTACTTAAAATTACTACAAGTTCTCGTTAAAAAAAAAAAAGGAAAGAAAAAGAAAAGCTAAGACATGTTGATTCCTTACAAATATGAATTTACAATCATCTCCTCTTCTTAAAGCTCTAATAACCATTAATAGCTAAGAAAGAGAAAATTTGAAATAAGATGAAGAAAAATACCTACGTCAATCCATTATATCATACTAACTTTCTATCTCAATGTTTTATTGCATTTGGCTGTTCCTATCTTCCAATTAAAAGGAGTTGTTCCTAACTATGAAAGCAAAAATTGTGCATAGTTCCAAAATCAACTTGTTAACATAAATAAGTTCCATTATTTATCATTTCAAGCTTAATATCGAACAAATTAAGCTCATAATCTTGAAGCAAAACAACTCCAAATGTTTTGCCTACGCCAAATTCAATTTTACTAATCTATCATTCCTTGTCATCATTAACATAAAAGAAAAGAAATTAATGCAAGACCTCTATAATGGATTTTGATTTTGAAGCGAGATTAAACAATAAAGTACATGAGTTTGAAAATTCAATGTCCCAAGAAAAGAAAACAATTCAAAACTAATTGAGATGGAGTTATGTTAGTATGTTATAAATTTTAGATTCCTGAATTGTAAATTAAGTTAAACTTTAATAGGTTTCAAATCAATCTAATTTTTATCCATTTGGCATATAAGCAGGGTACATAATTTGAAGAAAAAACATATAATTATATAGTTTCAACTCATCAAGATATCAACTTCCTATTTTAAATAAAGAAAACAAATATATATTATTCTTTCATTCTGAAAATCATACGCTTTTCAATTATAAAATGTAAACACCAGTAATATCCCTTTTCTTCATCAATCATTGTTTGGTTTAGTAATGTCTTTAGACTCAACCATATTGATGATAACTTCCGAAGTTTGCCAAATTAATACTCTCCTAGTCAAATTAGAAAGCAAGGATAGTTTTTGAATTAACTAACTTAATAAATTCATAAGTTGGAATCAATAGCCATTATAAGTTTCATGAAAGAGAAATGCTCAATACTTCTTCATAGACAGTGGCCAAAATCTAAGTTTCCTTTATATTGTCTTCTTTCCTAGTTTCTGTTACAAAACATTCTAAATATCCAAATAAGGCTCCACTTATTAAATAATTTCAGCCACATACAACAATTATGCATCAAGCATTATGGTCTATGATAACAAAATCAAAATTAGAAATTAAAAAAAAATACCAATTAACAAATCCCAACCACTTGAGTTGAAATCCCATATCCAACATTTCCTATGCAGCCAAAAAAAAAAAAAAGGAAATTTGGAATTTGAAAAAAGTTCTGCATGTTTCAACCAAAAAGATGAATGTGAAAATTGCTTATAAAAGAATTTCAAGAGTAGTAAAAACAATTCACAAAAGCAAGGAAAGAACCACATCCCTTACTGGGTTAAAACCATTTTGAAATGTTAGGATCAATCTCTATTGATGCAAAATTAACCCACTACTCAAAATGGGCCTAAAAAATGAAGAAAATATACCATAATGAAGATTGTGTGACACACAACAAAATTTACTAGGACGTCTCTTGAATGCAAGAATTAAAAAAATATTAGGATGATAAAAGGTCTTACATAATCAATTAGAGTAGAACCATATAAAGGATTGTCACCCTTCAAGCCGGTAGTTGTAACAAACTGAATAAATCTCATGAGTTTGAAGGAAATCATTAATGGACCACAAAGGGCTAGGGAGAGAGAGGGAGAATTATTCTCACCATAACGATCAATGGAATTATGACTAAAGATTGTTGTTTTGCAACATCTCATCTCAAACAAATACCTTTCCAATAAGGTTCATCTTTAGAAATTTAAGGACTTTGTTTGATACACCCAACTCAAAATTCCCAACTAGTTTGACGTCCCCACCACCGTACTCTGTAGCAATGAGTGCCTTAAATAGTTCGGATGATCAACTACATTGAATATATTAACCAAATTAAAGAGTATGGGTAAATAGATTAAGCAATTCAATAACTACAAAAATCATAATAATTAACCATAAAAACTTGATTCTCTCATACAATTAACATCTAACATTAACTTCCTAAGGCGCTTTTCAATTAAAATTCATCTTGTTCATCCAAACATACTTTTGTATAGCTTATTTGCTATTATAAAAATGTTAAAACTTCCCCAACCATGTTAAAGAGTATGGGTAAATAAATTAAGCAATTCATGTGCAACTTTCCCAGTTCAACCTTAGGTGAGCCACACAGAGGTCTAATCAAGATCAAGCCAATATTTTGTGGCATTATATGGATTTTCACCATTTTTTAGTGATTACTATTATTAAAATACTAAAATCCTACCCTCCTCCTTCCCTATTGCGCTCATGTTTGCACCTCTAATCCCCTAGTTTGGTTACCTAAGTTGAAGTGGAAACAACTCCAACATCAATGACACCATTACTTTAGTTGTAAATTGATAATAACTACTTCATCTTTGATATTGAGTTTCAACAAAAAGCATCATATAAATATCAAATAACTTTATCAACAAAAAATACCGAATTAAAAAAAAATCAAATTTAGAAGAAAAAACTAGGAGACCCCAATAAATAATTAAAAAAAAAAAGGAAAGTAAAAAACTTCAAAATAAAGAGAACCTGGGTTTAGGGAGGTGATGTTAATGAAAATGGAGTGGAACTCCTTCGTCAAAGGTCTTCACATCAACAAAACTTGGATGAGTGCGAAATTCTCCTAGTCCAACACCACCATTGTCAATTTGATTTTGGGAAATAATAACCGAAAATAAAAAAATAAAGAAAATTACAGAGACAATGATGAAAAGATGTCACCTCTTTAACATCCTTTTTGGCATAATCTCAACACAGCATCTCCCTTCGAGCTTTTTCCCATCACCCACCATCCACCTACTTGCCTTAATCTACATAACCCAATGACTTTGCCAACTCTTTTAGATCTGATTGTCTGGGGAAAATGTGATTCAAGCATGGTAAGAGAAGTAGAGAGAATAGGAGAAAGGGGAGAGCACCAAAGGGGAGAGGAATTGGAATGGACAGGGAAAGGAAAAAGAAAGAAACAAAAATGATAGCTTGGTGTTTTTGTTTCAACTCATCAGATATTTAATTTTGACTAGATTCTGAATTTCCTCTCCGTGTTAGCTTTTCTACAATCCACAATCTAACTTATTGGGAATGATCCCAAACAACATGTTGAATTTAACCAAGTCAAGCCACCTTAACTTGTCATACAATAACTTGTCAGGGCCAATTCCAATAGGCAATCAGCTCCAAATGCTTGAAGATTCGACCATTATGCTAGTAGTGCTCAACTCTATAGAGCTCAACTCCTAAAGAAATGCTCTGATGATTCGCTGCCTCTAACAACCACCAACTCTAAGGACAGCAATGAAAATACATTTTAAAAAATGTGGTTTTACATCTTCTTGATGTTGGGCTTTGCAACTGGATTCTGGGAGATTTGAGAACTTTGATTTTTATGAAAAGCTGGAGATATGCTTATTTCCAATGGGTGGTTGATGTCAAAGACTGGATCCTTGTGGTTATAACATTGAAAGTGGCACAATTCAAGAAGATGTTCAATGGCAACCCAGATGATCACATATAAAGTATATTGCTGTTGCAATATCTATTAGTAAATCATGTTTCAAATTAGTATGCTTGTGGTACTGTGAGAAGTGTTTTTTTTTTTTTTTTTGAAATTTTGGTTTGTGCACTCTAGGTTTGTCTCCATGTTTATGGAGAGTATTTACTTTCAGTGTTTGAGGTTGAAATATCCTCGTTCTATATAAATAAATGGAAAAATAAGCATGCTTGTTTAACATTCATTTGCATAATATCAAACTACTAAAGCATTCAATACTCTCTTTAGCCCTATTTGTTTTCTTATTGTTGATTTTCCCAAAAGTTTTTCTCCCATGCATTTACTCGTTTTACTAAATCTTCCTATGTCCTGAGCATTGTATGAAGTGATGCAGGATCATAAGGAGGTGGCATCCTACATGGGCTTGTGTCTGAAGGACTCTTCACTAAGGATTCCATCATAAATTTCTTCTCTAATCCCTTGGCCGGACAAGCCATGCTCTCCGAGCAAAGTTCAACTGCATTCTTAGGCACCTCAGGCTTGAATCTCAAGAGCTTGGCATACTCATTCAAGAGATGGAACATGTAGCCATATACAGAGTCCATCTTCAACTCTCGGTGAATAAATTCGCTGGCTGCCTTCCCAATGGCATGTGCCTGTTCAAGCAAATTTTAGTAAGATACATGATAAGATATATACGCTTATTTTGCTGAATATGTCCATGTTCTGACACGTGCTGCTTTATATTTTCTTTTCTTAGATCCATATAATAAATAGAGAATTTGAAGTGTTTAACAAATCAATTTGTTGAGATAAAACGAAAAGCTCATGTAACACAGGATAGCTTTATGCAAATTAAATTCAGTGTTGAACTTGCAAATATTGATTACCTTTTGGGTATTGTTGTTGCCCCAATCAACTGCATACTTGATCGATCTGCACTTATCTACATCATTAGTAGACCAATAATGGTGCATTGCCATCAAACCTCTAGTGAAAAAATCGTAGTACCGTAGTTTTATGAGTAAGGTCACTGAATCACAAGCAAGAATGTATTTTTCACTAACAGACCATGCAGAGCCTTCAATGTAGATCTTGAACCTGCATCAATTTTGCATTCCAAAATCTAAAGACAGATCAATGATAACAGACATTAACAAAAGCAAATAGGAATGACAAGGTCAATTATATTTAACCTGTGGGTGCATTGGCTTGCCAAGTCAGATTGCTTGTATCCTTGCTTTGATTCCCTAATTCAATCCCTAACGTAATGTTATTTCCAAGAATTAGAAGCAGTTACTAATATTAACAAATTGAATTATTGAAATGCTTCGGGATTATTGTTACTTGGGCATAAACACGTGCACCCCAATCTTGTTTGTCTCGGAGATTACATCTGAGTAGGTCCTGTCTTGTTTTGGCAACAGCAGGATTTCCTTTCCAATAAGCATAGGTTTCTCTTTCCATCCATCCAGTCCTATTATTGCCTTCAGCTAAATCATTTAACAATGATTCCTATGGTTTTATATTAATCTCTGGCCTACACAGATAGGCTACATGTGCCATTAGAAAATGCATGATCGATGTCACAGGTGTTATAAGTAGTGTATACATAGCTTAAATAAAAGGCCTTACCATTCCCAAAAAGACCAGTCTGGGAAAACAATATCCAGTGTCTCATCATCCGCACAATATCGAAACAAAGGAGGTGGTACCGAAGCATTGGGGCCAGCATAATCACTTGACTTGATGACAGGCCAGTCCACACAATCAAACATGAGTTCCAAGTCAGGCACCTTTCCGGGATATTTCCTTAACAACTGTAAGATCCCCCACAGCGTGAAAACATCTCTTGGTTGAAATGCCCTGTGGTATCTCTCCATGTACGCCCTTCCATTCACTATAATCAATTTGAAATTTGCAGTTTTTTGGGCCCTGTCCACCATGTCTCTAGTAATTCCTGTGTAGGCCCATGGCCTAAGATCCTCGTGGATCCAACGGAAGTATTCCGGACAGATCTCTGGTGATGGAAGCTCGAGACGTTCTTGGGTTGTTGGGTAGGATGTGGGGCAGGTTTTTGTGAGGCGTA